AAATATAAGTGTACATATATATAATTTATTAATATATAATAATATAAATATTATAATGTATATATAAATATATATATATAAATATTATATTAATTTACAAAATTAATATATTGTATATAAATATAAATATATATATAAATATTATATTAATATATAAAATTAATATATTATATGTAAATATATAAATATTATATTATATATATAATAATATAAATGTACAGATGCATTCTATAGATAAATTCGACCTACACTAGTTGGCTTCTAAGCCCTCCATACATCGTTACACATACAGCAGCACACGATTCTATGCTTCGAAAACGATTTCTTCTCGAAGTCTTACCAAACTACAATCAGCTCAGTTCTACACTTTTCGCTTAAGCACAACTTTCCCAGCAGTAAGAAGGTTCCCTTACGTTCCTGAATCTCGCAATTCGTTTCACGAATATCACTGGGCCATAAATCTTGTTTCGTTAGCTTGCGACGATATCGAGCAGCTACGCTGAAAATAGTTTAGACTGCTTCGGGTATACTTTTAAAACTTAACAAACGTGTTCGCACAAATCCGCGTTTTTAAAATTAGCGCATTTAGTCGCTATATCGTGTATCGTTTTGCAATGTTTTCTTGCGTCTTCGTTCGCGAGGTTTTTCAGTCGTGATGATATCGTGTCTTTTTGATCCGATTGGTTTTCTTTGTTTTCTTTTTTCGCTTCTATCATGATTGGTTGCGTTACCTTTGTCATCAATTTGATTCTGTTGATTCTGGTTGTGTCGCGTCCATCATGAATTCCCTTCTGTTTGCGATTGGTTGTATTACGTGTGTCATCAATTCAGTGCTGTCGATTCTGGTTGTATAACGTTCGTTATCAGTTCAGTTTTATCATGATTGGTTGTGTTAGGTTCGTCGTTAGTTCGGTTCTGTTGCGACTAGGGTAAGTGTAGGTATTACTGCAGTTTCTCAATGGAGGTGAACTTTGACAGAGAAAATAAGAGACCGTTTACGCCAATAATTTGACCATTTGAGCTATATCTATTATTCTTGAACTTGAACATTTATTTTTCTCAAAATATTGGATCTCTGAAAGCAGGAATTTCATTAAAAAAACGTGATGCAAAGAAACCATACGTGTGCATATATTACTGCGGTTATGTGTCTATTACTGCCAGCCAAATACTGCGGACGTTTCGATTACTGCCTGTCAAGATTGACATAACCCATTTTCTTTTAAATGTACACACACACACAGCTACAATTACTAGGATCAAGATATTCTCACTGTAGCACTTTACAAATTAGGTATATATATATAGGTACTCTGCAATCAAGAGTGTTCGCACCGGCTGATCGAGAACTACATTGTATAGGTTAGGGCACACAATTCAATAAAGTACCGCAGTAATATACACACATAATTAAAAGCTATGCTTCAAATACTGTGTTAGTGAATAATATCTGAGGATAGATGATAGTGAGACTGTGTACGTGATTGATTTTGATTTGATTTTGATGATTGATTTTTGCTCAAAATAATGATTACTTTACCTAAAAATAACGCTAAAATGAATAGTTTATTATCAATTACCAAAATATTAATGCCGTTCGAATCAGCGTTCACAGCTGCCATTACGAGTATTTTATAAGACTCAACGTTACCATAAGCTTTCGAATATCAAAAGTCAATAAAAGAATTGAAACTGCGATTGCTATTACTTGCATGTTATAAGTTATCAATACTAAACATATAAAAAATTATGAGACTCATTTTTAAAAGATTACACACTACAAAATATAAAATACCACAGTATTTGGGACGTCCGCAGTAATACCTACAATACAATATAGGATTTGCATTATGTTCATCGTCGGTTCGGTTCTATCGCTCTCGTTCGTATTACGTTCGTCATCAATTCAGTTCCGTCGATTCTGGTTGTATAACGTTCGTCATCAGTTCAGTTTTATCATGATTGCCCGTGTTAGGTTCGTCGTTAGTTCGGCTCTGTTGTAATTGGATATCTTACGTTTGTCATCAGTCCGGTCTTATCACGATTGGCTGCGTTCCGTTCGTCATCAGTTCAAATCTGTTCCGACTAGTTCTGTTACTTTCGTCATCGCTTTGATCCCGTCGGTTCTGGTTGCCTATGAATGATGATGGCCATCGAATGTTCCGATTGATTTGTACGTGTCTCATACGGTTTATTAATGAAAGTCTCTCGTTAGATCTGTTACACGCGATGCCCGCAAGTTCAAGTCGCGATTCCTGTGTCTGTCTCTCGTTTGTCTCTCGTCTATCTCCCGCGGTCTTCTAATATCGACTGTCAGCGTTAACATTCAAGTATTAATTCAGCCATTCTGATCGCAGAGCACATCTCTGGACAGCGGAGGAGGCCCGGGGACCCATCAGACAGGAGGATCCGGTGGCAGCGCGGTGGTGACGAGAAGCGGCGGCCGCCGCTGGCTGTCGCAGAGCTCGCAATCCTCGAGCAGGCAACATTCGGCCGAGGACGGGGTCCGTGGGGGCAACGTGGGCGTCATAGGGCCCGTTTCGTCCTCGTCCTCGAGCCAGGCCCCTGCTCCCGCCCTGCCGCCTCGTAGAGTCAGTCCAGCCGCGGATTCGACCGACATCTCGAACACGGCCACCGGCTCCCGCAGCGACAGGTAACGCGCGCGCCTGTGTTAACCGTGTCCCACTACCTTCTTCCTTCGTAGCTATCTCTCCAGCCAGTGTCCCGGAGCATCACCACCGGCAGGAAAACCACCCGAGAATTTCCGACCGAGAATTTCCCCGCTCCTCGCTTTCCCGTAGCCGCGTTTATAACTCGGTTTTAACGAGTCCCTCTCGCTCGCGATTTGCATCCCGCGCGAAGATTTTTAATTACACCAGCCCCCGTACGCGCATTGTTCCATCTGTGGTCCTGTGTCTCTGTGCCTCGGTGTTCCCTAAAGGGAAAGTGCTCGAGCGGATCCTCTCACCCGCGAGGATCTCCGCGAACCGCGTGCTCGCGCACCTGTGTTCTGTGCGAATGGTGTTCTTCTTCGGCTTCGAATTTTCGGCGTTCGCGGTCTATGCGACAGGAATCGGAGACGATGGTAATCTCGCGCGACGGCGATCGGGCACGCCTGACACACCTGCGAACGCTACGGAGTATGTACCTGATACAGAATGCAGAAGGCTGGTCGTCTCGTGTGCTCAGAATCGTTCGTCTTTTGTTTATGTTATTGGAAACTCCCGCGCGCGTTAAGGTGCTCGCGTTACCGTTACTGGAAGACCCCTCGCTGCTTAGACCATAACGGATCCGCGCGATGATACGTTATCGCGTTACTTGCTTTATGATAACGGTAACGAGCCGGGGCGAGATGCGTCTACGTCTATTATCGAGCCTTGTTACCGTTACCCGAAATCCGTGTAACGATTAACCACGCTCCAGATTCGTTATACGAAGCAGGGAAGGCGCGCCCATGTCTGCTACCGAAACCGTAATCCCTGCGAGCTGGTAACGATCGGTAACATTGATTAACGCGACACCAGTTAAATGTTGAAATATTTTAACGCGATACCGTATAAAATATCTTACGTGGACCACCCTGTATACAGTATGTGTATATATGGTTTCCCTTTTTTGTTTCTATTATTTATTGCACTCGCGCGACGGCTCTGCAAAATCTCTCGCCTTTTACTTCTTTTTCTGCAACAAAACGTTTCTTTGCCCGTATACGCGAACAAATTATTATTATTATTATTATTATAAAATAGATCCGAGCTCTGCTGTGCGAGTGTTACGAATTTAAATTTTCCATGAAATTCCATATATGGCCAGTCGAAACCAAAAGACGTTTCGTCACGTTTTCCCGTGTCCAAAAGCAATTAACACGTTCAGCGCCGACGATCAACCATTAAAATTCGCTCAAAGTCAAAGCAATTTCATTAATTGAACCGAAACTAGAAAGTTAAAATTTATCACAGCGGTTGACACTCTTTCGCATCCGAAACATCCTAATCATATTCGATTTGTTCGAATCTATTACAATGAAAATGAATTTGGTGAAAAATTGGTGAAAAATTAGTGCCACCCATATGCGACCGACGCGGCGCTCAACGCGTTCAAATGTTCGAAGCACCGAAATTATTTCGTTCACCGTGTATACCATCGTGCACGCGACTCGAAAATCGAAGAAATCTGGCAACCTACGGTTTCGTTCCGGACTGTACGGACGCGTATCTCTCGAAATTCGTACGTGGGCTGTCGGTCCGCGATGTTATTCAGTGGTTCGCGCCAAAAAAGGCCGGGACAGGCCTAGACAAATAGCAACAGCGAAATCGGCCGGTCGACGAGATAGCATTCGTTCCGTGGGAGATCGGTTCAGCAAAAACGGGCCGGCTCGTCGCTGCCGGGATTAAATACCGGGCCCCGGCGCTGATATCGATCTGGTAAAAAGAAAATTAATTCGATCGTTGCGTGGTTTACGTCTGCTCTCTCGCTACCGGCGTTTACTTTTTGCCGTCTCCGGGGACGGTTACACGCGATGTAACTTTCATGAAGCTGAATGAAAGGACGGGACACCGCTTCCTGCACCGCGCTCGGCTCGGCTTCCCCGCGGAGCGTAACTTGTTTACACACGCGAATGCAAAATTCAACTGAGGGACGAGCGTAGGAAACGGGGGCCGATACCTCCTAGAGAACTCTTCCCGTGGCCGTATACGGTTAATTAGTTGCCTCCGATCATTTTTACCAGTCTTGCGGGAGATCATGAAAAAGCAATCGGCTTGTTTTCTTCAAATATATTGGGTCGTGCGATAGGCGCGTCTCTAGGAGAAAGAGAAAAGGCTCGCTGTTTATGGCGAACGATAGGAGAGCGGACAGAAGAAACGCGATAATAGTAATCGGTTCTTGCTGTGACAGTTGCCGTCACGGTTCTTGCCTGATTCGGGTGCTCGCGAGGAAAAATAAGTGCACGGACTAGCTGAGATTAGATATCGATGACGGGATCGAGGGAGAAACTAAGTGGAAGCTAACTTTATGCAACTGTTACGAGCTGTTACTTGGTTCTTTCGAAATATCTTGATTTCCTTTTGTGATCAAATTTCGACTATTGTTAAGAATGGTAGGAAACAGATTTAATGCAATCGTGCGATGGTAATAGCTTCTTAATGCAATCTGATCTTTGTCCAATCTGATACTTTGTACATATTTCTTCGAGATTATAACCGGAATCCTATTTAATAGGATTTTCAATTATTCTGCTATATCAAAAGAAATCTTTACTTTGTGTTTGAAGATATTTTTTAAAGATCTATGTCTCATCAGTTATTACAAATTAAAACTAAAATATTTCTGTTTTTATTTAATATGCAGAGTGTTCCACAATTATTTTAACAGCCGAAAATGAGGGGTAGCTGAGGACATTTGAAGTAACTTTTTCCTTTGCGAAAATGCAATCTGCGGCTTTGTTTACGAGTTATTAACGGAAAACACTGACCAATGAGAGGTGACGGCGCGAAGTTCGAGAGCCCGCAGCACGAGGCTTTGACAGATGGTCGGGACGGACTCGAGCCGCGTTCGAAGTATTGAACAAATCACGAAGCGAGAATTTTCCGGATCTTTTTTACTACGTAACAGTGATATTTTCAAGAAAAACGCTGTTCACCTTTACTTTAGAATGTCTGAAGAATATTTACTAATTTTTCGGACCCGAAATAGTAAGTAATTTAACCGTGACGGCCGTTTTAATTTTCTAGTGTGCATGACACCCTGTGTCTAACATATGAAATTTTTAAGCAAGGTGTACAGCGAAGGTGTACAGTGACCTTGACATAACCTTGCAATAACCTTGATATGTCCAGGTTTTCCGTTAATAACTCGTAAACGAAGCCGCAGATTGCATTCTCGCAAAGGAAAAAGTTACTTCAAATGACCTCAGCTACCCCTCATTTTCGGCTGTTAAAATAATTGTGGAACACCCTGTATATTTATATAAATGTGATCACTGTATCATTTGCAACAGAACAGATTAATAAAATAATTCTAATGTTAAATAAAAATTGGAAAATATCCTTTCAAGGTTACAATGAAATTGAGAAAAAAATTCTAAACATAAATATTGAAATTATTGTGAACGAAATTTAGAAACTATTTAAATTCCTTTTTAATATTGTTTATTTTCTAAGAGTTCATTGTAATTATAATGACACAATTCTGGGTAGAAAAAAAAGACGGGACTCGTCATTTCCACCTAAAAGGGTTAAAATTCTTTTGTTATATGATAATCCCAAACGAAATTATTAGATTACGTTATTAAGGGAGACTTAGTGATGCACCGCTGAAATTGCTATTTCCATCGAACAATTCATTAAGAAATTCTTAACTGTTAATTATATAGTTTAGACTCAAGAATTGCTCTCGAATGGGTGTTTGTAAACTATGAAACTGCGAATCATTTAATCATCGTTGGTAGACAACGTGTTAACAATATTCGTATATAATTTACAACTCCATCTTCAAGAATAATTTTTATTCGGTAAATATGAATATCGTAGAAGTAGGACACGCGTCAGATATTCTTTCAAGTTCCATCACACGCGAGTTTCATCCCTCGTTAGTTTCCAATAACATATCAATTTTTCGAAGCATATCCTATTAAACGAGGTCAGGTGTCTCTATTTATAGCGCATAATTTCATTCGTATAATCGCTGGACTACGGATTTTATAACAGCACTTTGTTTTCAAATAGTAAGAAGATTGAAAAAATTTAAAAACATCAACATATTATTGAGTCGGTTCATAAAAAAAAGTCCGCGCGGTTTTAATTTCGATTTAAATTTCCAGCATAATAATTGCCTAACAGTTATGTTACGTCTTACACGTCATTCGACAGCTTTGCTGTTCTTCTGTTGTGCGATTGCTTCCTTATTCGTTCCGTGTGGGCAATAAAGTGATTCAATTTTTGGAAACTATGGAGTATCAAGTACTCGTCAATGACATCGCTACGCTGTACTAACTCTGACAAATATTCAAAATTTATTACACAGGGTTTGAATAGTCGTTACGATACATTTTTTCAAGCATTATAGCTTTCTATGAAGAACTTAAAGATATCTATGAAAAACATAGATATAGGGTAACAAAGATATAGGGTAAGTATTGGTATTACTGCGGACGCCCCAAATACTGTGATATTTTATAAAAGTAATAAAATCTAAGATTTTATACTGTGCAATCTTCTAAAAATAAATCTCATAATTTTGCAAGTAACAACAATCGCAGTTTTAATTCATTTATTGACTTTTGATATTTGGAAGTTTATGAAAATGTTGAATCTTATGAAATACTCGCAATGGCCGCTATGAACACCGATTCTAAAAGCATTTATATTTTGGTAATTGATAATAAAGTATTCATTTTAGCGTTATTTTTAGGTAAGATTAAAATAATATTAATCAATATACACTAAAATAATATAAAATATACCAAATAATATAAAATATACACTAAAATAAGATAAAATCAATGTACACTATCATTATTACCATAATCTACTGAATGAATTACCATAATTTACGACTCAATGTAACATTTCGTACAGCAAAACACATCGAAGAGGTTCAATTTTTGTCAACTTGACACTCCACATAGTTATCAAAAAAAAAGAATTAATCTTT